TGTCACTGCAAGCAGGAATCCCGCGGAACCACGGACCTGAACCTCGTCCTGGCGAGCCCTGATTCTGCACGGTTTGCAATCTAAGAGCGAGTCCTCCATTTTAAAACAGCTTTTAGAAATTACAAGAACACTTTGTGGGGTGAACATCATTGGCCATTCCAGCGGCACCAGTCGCCGAGGCTCCAGGGAACACGGCTCTGCAGGTCATCGTGCAGGCCCCGCCTGCCTGCACACAGCCACAGCACAGCTGGGCCTGTCTGGGCACGGAGCCCCCGTGTCCCCGCCCTGGCCGAGGCTTCACCCGGGTCTGGGTGACGGCCTCAGCCCCACACCTCCCTCCCCCTTCTTTCCGGTCTCGGGCTTCGGCTGGTTTCTCTCTCTAACCCAACGCAGCACTTTTCTCCACCCAGCCCTGAGCCTCACCCCTGTGTTAAAGCAAGGTCCCTGGGGCCAGCAGAGCCACGCTCTGCTCTCCTGAGGGTCACCTTCCTTCCATCTGTGGCTTCGCCTTTCCACAGCACAGTCTGACAACACCTCGCCCACCAACCTCGCCCGCCTTGGGATCCTCAAGCACTGTAAACTCTGCAAAAATGAAATGTGCATCCTGCACTTCTCTGCCCCTTCCCGGGCTCTCTGTCGCACGCGCTTTCTGCAGGGCTGTGGAAAAAATCCGGCCGGGTTCCAAGATCCACGCCCGGCCCCTGGGTCACACAGACGGCGCCCTCCCCGCGCTCTCTCCCACGTTAGTTTTATCGATTTCTTTATCTTGCAATAGATTTACTGTCAGTGAACCATTCATGGGGAGGCCAGATCATGCTTCAGTCACCATATGCACGCACGCACGCATGCCCTGGCACCTCTCCCCCCAACACACACACACGTGCGCGCCGCCGGCATACATGGTCTGGGCAGGTTATTCAAGGGTCGGACTGAGGGGCACAGAGCATGGAACAAATCACAAGCAATCCAAAAATGAGAGCCCCTGCCCCTTTCAATCACCCTGATTGCATCAGGGAGAAAGCCTCAATCTGCCGCTCTAATCTTGGATAATCTCGCTTTGTGACAGAGAACAACCCTCAGATTACGGGCTTCTGCAGGCGGACATCCCCTCCGCCACAGAATAAACACGGCTACGCTTCCACGGAGCCACTTCCACAGGCTGCTTCTACCTACGGCTTCCACTGCAGTGAAAAATTAGTTATTCTTTGTAAGTAAATTTAGGTCAACAAAAACGAGGTGCTTTAAATGAATACCAAGCAAACAGCAGCACCAGTGGCAGGCACGCACGACAGGCGTCCCAGCGGTACCCCTGGAAACCGAAGGTGCCGGGCTGCAGCAGACCCTCGGCCAAGCAGAACGAACTTGACCTGCCATTTGTGGTCCCGGGAAACGACCCAGGTCACACCCACGGGCAGCATCAAGCTTCTAAGACAGGGTCTCTCGGCGGGGTTGGGCTGGCACATGCGACGGTGTCGAGACAACACGGGCAGGGGTTGCTACCGGCATCTGGCAGGTGGTGGCCAGCGACACCACCAAGCCTCTGGTGCTGCCCAGGACAAGCCCAAGGCAGACTCAGGCCCAACCCTGCCCTGAGGGAAGGGACGGCTGGTGTGTGCGCCCCGGCCCCAGCCCCCACTCCTGTCCTCACCACCTCTGCCCTGTCTGCAGCAGGAGGGCAAGGAGCGCCCCCAGCCCACCTCTCACTGCCGTGCCCGGCCCCACGCCAGCGCCTCCTTCCAGGACCGGGACGGGGAAGCAGCCTGAGGGGTCCATGCCCTCATGCATGAGCCCCACGGCTTCCTCATGGGCCAGCAGGCCTTCGGACCCCCTGCGCGACGCAAAGGCGAGGGAACGGGGGACGAGCAGCGTCACTCCAGGGCGTCCGGACCCCAGACCTCTGCTTCCCGGGCTCTCCACGACTCTGAAGCTTTTAAAGTAACTAACAGCCTTTTCATTATTTAGGCTAACTGCCCCAAAATGGAACTTCAAAAATGCTACTTTTTCAGTCTGCAGTAAACAGAAAAAAAAATAATTAACATAAAAGCAACCGGCAGCTGACACAGCTCGCTGGGCTGCGGCTCAGTTCTCCGATCTTACACCCACCGCCGCACACAGAACCCACACCTGCAGGCCCGAGGGCAGGTGTTTACAAGACAGACCTTTGAGGCTATTCTGGCTCGCGTTCTCTCTCCAGGTTCTCCAGAACAATCTAGAAGCAGGCAGCCCCTGTCTTCCCCCCCTCCCCAACATGGGGTGTTATTTTAAACCCTGGGACAGCACTGACACCTGAAAACGTACGGTAAGCTCCTACGGCAGGGGTCCCTACCCTCAGCAGCTGGTGTCCTGTGGGGACGTGTCATCCTGCGGCTGCTAACTCTGACACACCCGTGGCCAAGCAGCAGGGGCGGTGACACCAAACCCCTCTCACTGTAAGACAGGCCTGATTCCCACACCGGCCACAGGAGGGAAACCAGGGCAGGGCGGGAGGGCGGTCATGGTCACGCGGGTTTTAGGGAGAGGACGAGCAGGTCACAGCACATCCCCCCCACCCCGGGGCCAGCAGCAGGGATCGCGCTCTCGAAGATGAGTGACGCGGCCACTGCAGCACTGCCGATCCCTCCTCTTCCAAGCCGTCTGCGGCCTCGTGAGGGGCACCGTGGGCTGCGCCTTCCCGGCACACGGACGCCAATGCACGTCAGGGGAGACATGTCGCCGCACCTGCCCCAGGACTTCCCAGCCCCCGGAGCTGAACGAAGGCTGGCGGCTGCAGCAGCTGGAGCTGAGAGCACTGGCATGACCCACAATTCCCACGCACTGACCACGCCTGGGCCAGAGCTCCCCACTGGGACAAGGAGCCTCCAAGCGCCCCGCTCACGGCGAGGGGCTCCCAGCACCACCCCTGCCCCAGCGCGCACTGCTCTGTAGGCAGCTTCCGCTTTCATCTGTGTGAAAGGCAGACAGGCAGCTCTCCCAGACTGCCTCACTCCCTCAATGCCCCAAACAGCAGGGCGGGGCCTGGAACTCCGTCTAGGCCTCCCGCGTGGATGGCAGGGACCGGGCACTGGAGCCATCGCCAGTGCATCCCAGGTGTGCATGGACACAGGCGTGCCTGACGCCCTCAGCTGCAGGACTCTGCCTGGCCCAGATGGACGCCCTAAAGCAAACGTGGAGTCAGCCCATCAGTAGGCTGTGAAATCACAGGGGTTCAGCCTGTTGTGTTTAATGAGATAGAATCAAACGGCGCAGAGAGAAAGTATCAGAGTACAGGGCTGTAAGAACAGACAGGGTCTTAGGAAGGTTTTTCTAATGCGTGTGCACACACACGTATCTCCGTGTCCAGGTGGTCACACACAGCAAGAGAGCCCACAGAACTCCGCTCCAGCTGAACGGTGGCCAGCGCTCTGGGACCGCTGTGTGACTGCGGTTGGGGGCAGAGGCAACGGAGGTCACTACCTCAAGCAAGCGCATCCCGTGGAACGGAGACAGAAAGCAGCAAAATCGAACCCACAGTCATTTAACTCTCGTCCTCAGGACCCCGCACTGGGTTTCTCTGGATTTTGCCCGTCTGGGCTGCATCTGGTTCTGTTATCAACGTTCCTTCAACGTGGAACCAGGGCCGAGACACCAAGTGGGACACGACTGAGCCCCGGAGCCTGCCAGGCCCGCTGCCATCACTCCCCGTGCCAAACCGCTGCACAGCCCTGACCGAGGCGAGCTCCCTCCTCCCCAGGAAAAGCCTTGCAAGTGCCAGCTCCTCACATCACCGGGCAGGAGACCAACTGCTGTCTAGGACAGAGAGCCCCGAATGACCACGGCCAACGCTGGTGCATCAGCACCGCCAACACCCTCACAAATCAAACCCTATTCGCAAATGTGATGTTGGGAAAATTCATCTGCTATATACCGTTAATTAAGCCCTCCACTCCCACCCCAAAAGCTGTCTCAGCTGCCCTGGTCCGCAGGTCGAGCATGGGCCAGGCCCACCCACACCTGCCTTCGCCAGCCACCCAGAGCCCTCAGGTGCCCCAGGCCCTGATTTGCAAACACATCTCAGGGTGATGCTCCCTGGCCACAGTGCAGGCCTCTGGGATGCAAGACAGCTGTGCCTGGAGCTCACCAGCACCGAAAGCTGAATCTGTCCACACCCAGGAGCTGACCACAGCGGCAGCCAGGCACAGGCACGGCTCTGTGGTCAGGCCAGGGACAACTCCAAGACTCACTCAATGTCTCAGTCTCAGCATCTCTGCCTGGGGGCACTGGGCCCCGGCCCCAGACCCAGAACCAAGACTGGAAACCGGGAACGGCCTCTGGTGTCAGGAGGTTTGTGACCGAGTCCGGGGACGGCGGGCAGTGCCTCCAGCCTTCGTGGTGTCCCGGTGCCCCCCTCCCTGTGCAGAAAGCAGGAGCTGCGAGTCCGGCACCATTCCTCTCCACACAGCAGGTGCATCCAGGCCGCTCTTCTCTGAACTCCCCAGGGCAGCCCGGGGCTGAGCGCAGCGCAGCACCAACTCTGCTTTCATCTCAAAATATCTTAATTCTGTGACTCTGTCAGGGAAGGACCGGACCGGGCGGCCAGCAGTATCGGCTCTGTAAAATTCACTGCCACCCGGAACCCCACACTTAGGGGAAAAACACCGCGACTGAGTGGCTGTTTTCTGCCCCTTGGCATTCCTCATTGAAAGGAAACGCCTCGGGGAAACAGGGGCCCTGCAGCCAGGGCTTCCTCTGCCTGCCTGCCTGCGCGGGGCCTCTGGCTCCCCATGCGCCCAGCACAGCAGGTGAGGTCGGTCATGGTCCCCGCGCGCAGCCCGCCCTGCACCTGCGCCCGCGGACGCCCGGGGCCGCTTCCCGCCACCTGCGGCCAACAGGTCTGCAGGAGACCCCGTTCACGCACACGCTGAAACACGGGGCTCATGCTGAAACGCGCGCCACCTGTGCGCGGCCACGCCGTGCTCCGCGGGGGTCTGCCTGCCTCACGCACCTGTCCCCTCCTCACGCACCTGTCTCCGGCGAGGGCAGGCCGGGCGCAGCGGAGGGCCAGGGCCGGGTCCCGCGCCGCGGCCGCCCGCGGCAGCGTGGGAAAGCGGATGCATGGCTGCTGGCTACACCGCCACAGCAGAAAGACAATGGAGATGGCGATGGGATGGCAAAGCAGCAGGCACAGCAACACCCATTCGCGAACGGCTGACACCAGACTCCCCGGGACGCAGGGTCTCAAACCAGGGCGGACAGCAGGGAAGGCGGCGCGGGCGGCTCCGCGAGGACCCGGGCAGGGCCGGGCAGGCCGCGCCGCCGTCCGCGGCCACCCCGGGCCGCCGGGCGGACTTCGCCACGCCGCCTCAACTCCCCGGTGACTCATCCCCGCGCTCCGGAGGCGCTGCGGGAAGCGGCCCGGGGCGGGCAGGAGCCCAGGCGCAAGCACAGGGCGCCGGGCGCGCGGAACTCCCCCACCCCCCCCAGGCCGCGGGCGCCAGCCGGGCCGCCCACGTGCGAGGCGGGGAGGAACCGAGGGGCCCCGCTGCCCCGGCCGCCGCTCCCGCTCCCGCTCGGGCTCGGACGGCGCTGCCCGCTCCTTACCGTCCGAGCTCCGACTCCACCTCGAAGAAGTCGCCCAGCGCGTCCCGGTTGGAGCCGTCGATCCAGTAATCCGGAACCAGGCTGCTGGCCGCCGCCGGGCCCACGCTGGCGGGGGCCGAGGAGCAGGACGCCGCGGACGAGGAGGGCGCCGTGACTTTGAGCATCTTCGCGGCGGGACTCGGCCGCCGCCGCCGCCGCCGCCTGCGCACGCCGGAGCGAGAAGGCGCGTCCTCCGCGCGCGCGCCCCCCGGCGCCGGGAGGGCGGCCCCTGCGGAGGGTGCGGGCGGCTCAGCGCCGCGGGCGGGGGCGCGGATCCGCCCGCCCCGCCCCGCCCCCTCCCCTCCGGGTGCGGGAGCCGCGGCTCGTCCCGCGCCGCCCGCGCTGCTGGGACCCGCGAGCGCACGGGTGCGCGCGGCAGGCCTGGGCCCGAGAGCCCGGCGGCCGGGGTGGTCTCCTCCCCCACCCCCGGCCCCAGCCTCGCGCCAGCCCCGCCGGGAGGCCCGGGCCGCGCCGGCCGACTCACCTGCGAGCAGAGTCCTCGGCGGGCGCGGGCACGGGCGCCGCTGCGTTTCCTGCAAGGCCACGGGCGCGCTGTGTCTCGCGGCTCCGCCCCGGCATCCCCAGGCCGGCCGCCGCGCGGGCCGCGGGGGGCGGCTCCGGCCCAGGCTCGCTCTGCAGCCCGGGCCCGGGCCGCTGACCCTCCGCAGGGCGCACGCCGGCCGGCCACTTTGGTGCATGCGTCATTCATGCGAACAGTGGCGTCACAGCCTCTGATCTCACAGGTGTTACCTTTATAGGATTCCTGTTTCTGACTTTGTTCCCTCAAGCCCTGAACTCTCCGCAGTAAATCTGCATTTCTGATAAGGCAGGAGACAGACGTGACCCAATAGCTTCCTCTAATGTATTGATTATTCGCAGCTCTCCTGCTGTATCAGCAAACTACCCACCCCCGAATCCCACCAAGTGCTGGCAGGGATATGATGGGTTGGAAATGAAGGTGGCTTCGTGCTCAAGTTGAAATGCTCTGAGCAACAGCCGGGCTCTGTGGGCTCCTAGGAACTCTGACACCTGTTTTGCAAAGGGCCGGAAATGCCCAGGATGTGTTACTCTCCGGGGAATTTGCTAATCTGTTAGAAAAACGAGGTTCCTAAGCAAAGCGCAGTAATAACGCTCTCTAAACGCTACTTCTCACGGAGCTTGCCCCGACAGGTGGACACAGGGGCACCAGGTGGTGGCCAGGAGCCACAGCCCCGCAGCCAGGCGGATCACCTGGGACGGAGCGGGCTCTATACCTTCTCACTGCTCTAGGGCACGGCGGCCGGAAGGCAGCTGCTTCTCAGGGCAAGGTGACCTGGGCCCGATTTTGCATCCGGTGCCAGCCTAGTGATTTGGCAGTGTCCTTTGATCCCCGACTCTTGGAAAGCTGCTGTTAGTCACATCTACCAAGTGGACGCACGACTCCCCGTCCTCCCCCAATCCGCAGTTCACTACTGTGGTCTGAAATTACTACATGGAAAATTCCAGAAAAACCGACTCGTAATGTTTGAATTACGGTGTGCAGGATCCCTGTGTCCAGCACACACACTGACCACTGCCCGCCTCTCAGCGCTTCGCAGCCCCCCTGGGTATCACACAGGCCTTGTGGTACCCAGTGCTCCTGCCCACACAGCTGTCATTTTATGGACAATGGCCCCAGCGCTCAGGACAGAGGTGCCACATCTGGGTGTGCAAAGCCGTCAAGTGCTTCCTGAAGAACCGTCTCACGGGGCCGGCGTTGTGACACAGCCGGGTAAGCCGCCTCCCGCAACAGCTCATCCCTATGCAGTCCCCGCTGCTGCACCTCCAATCCAGCTCCCTGCGCAAGTGCTTGGGCCCCGTGAGAGACCTGCATGGAGTCCCCGGGCTTCAGGCCGTTGCAGCCATTTGGGGAGTGAACCAGCAATGGATGGAAGCTCCCCCGCCCGCCACCACCCTCTTCCCTCTGTCTGTAACTCTCAAATGAGTAAATATTTAGAAAGAAAGAGTGCACTGGCATAACTTGAGTGCCCAGCAGGTGCAAGGACTGCAGAGACAGCATCGCCCAGGGTGGTTCGGGAGGCTATCACCCGGAGCGTCCTGCTCATCTCACGGACAGCCTCCCGCCTTGTGTGCTGTCCCTCCAAGGACAAAGCTGTCTAACAGCACCGCTCTCCGAACACGAGCCCTTCGCTAAGTGACACGAGTGTGTTAGCGCCATCGATCTGTTTCATCAGTCAGTGCAAACCTCTTGTGCCTGACTTGTGGCCCAAGTGTTCTCTGAGGTGTGCAGGTACAGGAGAGATCAGCGCAGATGGGGTGGTGGTTTCCACAGTTCCAAGCCTCCACGCAGCGTCTTGGGACAAGTGCCGCACGGATAGAGGGGCGCTGCTGCGCTTTAGCCAACCCATGGGCTTGCTCTTATTCTTAGAACAGATAAATTGATACGTATTATCTTAAAACAGATGAACGGCGATCAAATCCATATAATTCATCTCGCTCTTTATCAAGCCTTAACTAAAATAACCACAAAGGGGACACATGGTAACTTTCCGGAAGAGTTTCCAGGGAAGGACTGAGCCCCACATTCCCGATGATGGGAAAATCACTAGGAGGAAGTCTCTGACCTCAGCAGGAGGCCATGTGGAGGAGTCGGAGCCGTCCCGTCAGCTTCAGTGTCAGAAAGCAGAACTCTGGGCTCTCAGTTAGAAATGGACAAAGGCAGGTCGGCGCTGTGGCCTGCGATGCCAGCATTCCGTGTGAGTGTGGGTTTGAGCCCCGGCTGCTGCACTTCCAAGCCAGTTCCCTGCTACTATGCCTGGGAAAGCAGAGGTGCCCCAAGTGCTCACATCCCTGCCACCCACGGGGACCCACATGGAGTTCCTGGATCCTGGTTCAAATGGGGAGCCCCAACCATCGGCCACTTGGGGAGTGAACAACCAGATGGAGGATCTCTAGCTATGTAACTCCGCACTTCAAATAAAAAATAAATCTTAAAGAAATGGAGAAAGAAATTCCAGAGAGAAGTAGAACACCAAATACCACTGTGCTCAGGTACCAGGGTGGTCGGTGCCCGATGCAGTGCAGGAGAACCCAGGGAACAACAACAGGAACACGGGACATCCGGGTCTAGGAGGCTTCAGCTGCTGCCCTGTGCATGTCGCACACGGTGTGGCATCTAAGTCCCAGCAACTTAGTGTGTACTAGGAGGAGGAAAATATGCACAAAAAAGAAACAACCTACAGAAAAACATAACAGAATCTCTACAAGGAATCACTGAAAATATCCAAAGCCTAATTGGATCTGGCTGAAAAGCCCATGAGAGTATTTCAGGCATGGAAAGCCAAGACACTCTGGCAAAAGATCTCTGTGAGTGAGATCCCAGTGGAAAGAACAGGTCTTCAAAGAAGGAGGTACCTTTCTCTGAAGGGAGGAGAGAACCTCCACTTTGACTATGACCTTGTCTAAACAAGATAAGAGTCGGAGAACTCAAGGGGCTTCCATAGCCTTGGAAACTCATGACTGGAGCATAGGGAGATTACTGATGCCGTAGACAGGAGTGTCAATTTGAAAAGTCAACAACAGGAGTCACTGTGCACTTACTCCTCATGTAGGATCTCTGTCCTTAATGTGCTGTACATTGAGATTTAATGCTATAACGAGTACTCAAACAGTATATTTCACTTTGTGTTTCTATGGGGGTGCAAACTGTTGAAATCTTTACTTAATGCATACTAAACTGATCTTTTGTAAAAAAAAAAAAAGAAAAAGAAAGAAAAAAAGAAATTATCAATTCCCAACTTGACTCTCACTGGGATTAAACATGACAATAGATCTGAAAAAAAAAAAAGTACTAGATACATAAAGTGACAGGAAAATGTGAATGACAGTTGAAATAAAAATCAATCAGCAGGCGCCCACCCCAGCATACTTCACAGGATGATATTCAGACAAAAGGGTTAAAATGGCTCTTCTGAATACGTTCAGATAATTAAATAGATCATCACAGTGAGTATGGAGATGGGGATTCCTACCAGAGAAGTGGAAAAGAGTACAACATAACCATTGGGCATATTAATAATAAATAAATAAGAACATATACACAGTAAACCTAAATTTAAAAACAGTTGGAAATTTGAGAACTAACAAGCCAAGCTATCTGAATTGTTTAAAGGAATCAGAAGGATTAGAGAGTGCAATTAGGGAGCAAAAGCGGCAAACACAAGATCCACGTGGCATCCGGCCTCGAAGACGGCCCACGGCCAACACCACCCAGTGGTGAGGTCTCTCTGGGTTACCTCCCGCTCTGTGCCACGGCCGGCCTGAATGTGGCAGGAGAGAAGGCGTGTGGCCTCCAAGGCCACACAGGTGTAGAAGAAGGCCTCTGGCTCTCGGATCACATATCTGCACGGCAGGATGCCTGGCCAGCAGCGCCCAGAGAGGCTGGTGCAGAGAGGAGCCCGCTGGCCAGCCACCCAGTGAGTGACCACAGCAGTGGGAGGCTGGCACGGAGAGGAACCAGCTGGCCAGGCACCGGGTGAGCCACCACAGAAGTAGAGCCCCCAGCCCCAGTGACGCCCACATCACAGACGTAGCAACACAGCAACCCCAGCCAACGTCCGACTGCACCCTCCTGAGACCCAAGTGAGATGACCAATCATTCTGTGTCCACAGAGACCGATAGATAAATGCTAAATGATAGATAAATGTTGCTGTTTGACATCACTAATTCTAGTAGTAATGTGTTATGCAACAGGAAAAAATTAATAAAAATATGGTTAT